GATAGGATCTTTTTGTCGTAGGGACACTTTTACAAAAAAACAACAACACAAGTTTTATTGGTTTTTAAAGACAAACAAAAACAAACAAACATAAAAACATCCAACTTTCTTTCATAAGTGTACAAAGCAGTGTGTCGGTTGGTTTACAATTTTTTTGTGCAACCATTTCATAGTCTCAATTACAGTCACATTGCATAATAACTCATATTACCAATCAAAACTTGAACACCCTAGTATCACTATTAAACAATCATTTGACTATAATTTTATTCATTCATACTTTGCGAGATAACTATAATTTACTTAGTTTATTTTATAACAATTCATATAATCCTCTCAAATCTATCCTAAAAATATTTTATAAATATGATAACAAAAAAAAGAAATACATCATTATATATTCATTATTTTCTAAAATTCTAGATATTCTATTATTGTATTTTATTATCTAACCATTGATAGAAAAGGTCCCAAATTTTATAAAATTGTTTATCCTCTTGTTCTCTAATTTCAAATGTCAATCTACTCATTTCAGCACGTTCCAATATTTTCTTAATAATTTCCTCCTGTAATGGTATTTTCTCATTTTTCCAATTTTTAGCAAATACAATCCTAGCCGCTGTTAATACATTTACAATCAAATATTTTAAATCTTTACTATATGTACCAGTTAAAATTCCCAATAAAAAAATCTCTGGTTTCAAGTCTATATGTTTCTTTATCATTTTTTCCAACCACATGCGGATTTTAGTCCAGTATTTTCTAGCATCCTCATAGGTCCACCACATATGGTAATATGAGCCAGGTATCTGATGACATTTCCAACATTCTTCAGATTTATTCTTGAACACATTTTTAATGGTATGTGGGAATTACTTTGGGAGGAGTTGGTGGAGAGATGCCACCAAGATAATGAACAGATAAGAAGCATAGCCCCGTAGCTCTATAATAGACAGAAAAAAAGACATAGAAATGAACCTTCCTAACTTCACAGGCTGTAAAAGAGACAGCAGGAGATTTTTTACTATCAGGGTTGCAAGTTTCTGTTCAAGTGCCTTTAGCTCATTTGGTCAGATTTGGGAAGACTGAAACAATCTTTCTTCTCTCCAAGAAATGATGGGAGATGAGAGCCAAGCTTTCATGCTCTTTTCTATATTTTGTCTCATATAAGAGGAAACTTTAAGAACTGAATTTAGGATTACTTTTAAAATCCCAGGCCAAGCCTCAGTTCTTAGTCATGCCAGAATATATAAAAGAGAGGAGATATAATTTTTTTTTAAAAAATACATGTTGATTATAAAGTATGGTGAGATGAATCAACTACAGAGATATCCAACATTACTGAGCTAATAGCTCCAACAGCGAAGAGTCCATTATATTACATTTTAATTCATTGGGAGGGCTCTCGTGGATCAGGCCAAAGTTTTCTGGATGTTTATAAACATGGGCTGAAAGTTGATAGTTCATCTCCACTTTTGTACTTTAGGAGCTTTGGATTTAAAGTATGTGGCCCATGATTTCAATTTGTATCCCACTCTTTTACTCTGATCTGAGTTATCCTAAGAGCCAATATGGTTCAGCAGTTGCTCCAACCAAGGAACCTTGAAAACATTTCCAGGGAATCGTTACGCGTTCCACCTGCAGTTATCTTACCAGCAACTTTTCTTGGAAACATATTGCAACTCCAGAAGGTAATACAAAATCCTAGGAAAAAAGCATTGGAGTTTCCAACAGGTACCTCATGAGGACTTTGGCGTGTTTCAAAGCGCCCTTTGAATCTGAGGCCTAGCACAGCTTGGTGTATATATGTGTATAAGAGAGAAATGAAGAGGAAATGTTTAAAAAAAAATCACACATTTCTTTCAAATTCCCTGAGGTCATTTAGATCATCTTGTAGAATCATCCAACTACAATAGTGCCAAAAGAATAGTAGTGAAGACAGGTTTTGTACCACTGAAATGTTGGTTGATACTATGAAGATGCTGTAAGTCTCTGCTGGAGAAATGGCCAAGCACCTCTAACTGAACATTATCAAAATATTTTTCTCTTCCACATCTCATCTTTGCAACGTCTATGACTGAGTTGCGAGAATCATTTCTTTACACTGCAGATGATGTGAATCACTGATGCTTACCAATGAAGAGAAATACCAGAAGAACTTTCCTTTCCCGTTTATTTATTTATTTGGTTGATTTCATTTCCTTTGTATAGAACTGCTGTCTGAGAAAACCCGCTTTTATCTGTTTGATTTTTTAAAAGAAATGTTTAAGATATTCTGCACGTTTCCGTAGTTTGAGGATTTTCAAAAACAAAATCTAAGCAGTTACTTTATGTTGTTCCTATTCTGCCCAAATCCCCAAAGGCTTCTCAGCATCACAAATTTGTGGCCTGCATCAAACTGACTTCACCTGCTTGTTGAATTCTACTATAGGTGTATTTTTTATGGCAGAAGCAGCTGTGCATCTTCTAGTGCAGGGGTCTCCAACCTTGGCCATTTTAAGATTTGTAGACTTCAACTTCCAGAATTCCTCAGCCAGCAACAAGATTGGAGACCCCTGTTCTAGTGCTGTCAAAATATAGGTTCCAAAAGTCCAAGCCAGGACAGTTGCTAATATTTGTAATCAGCAACATTTAGTGGACCTCACCTTCCTTACGGTACATCTCAATATTAAATATCCCACTTGTATATGCTAGTCTCTTAGGGTCTAAAAATGTATCCTCCACTGATTAAGAACAGTGCTCTGAGCTGCTGCACCAAATAGTAAACAAATTCCTTCTATGAGTAGGACAATATAGTATCTTAAGCAAAGATTATCATCTTAAGTGTGCTGACATTTCTCCCTAAGTAAATATGTACAAGGCTGAGATAGTATCTCTTTCCTGTTGCAGCTCTTTCTGAGCAATTGATTAGATTTTTTTTAAAAAAATGGCAGACCACAGATAGAATCTGTCAATCTTATCAAGTAAGTTGATAAAAACATGAACATGTCACCCAATCGGAAGGGCAGTGATGCAGCCTATAAGTACAGAACTAATCTCATCAAGGGCCTGCGTGTGATAGAACAAAGGAGATAAACAACATCTTCCCTCTTGTCACATGACAATCTAGACCAGGGCTGTCAAACTAGCTGCCTGTGGGTCAGATGTATCACGCGCTGGCCACACCCATCCCTGGTTTAGTGAAGGGGGAAAAAGTTGTGATGCATCACGTGATGCTGCTGTGATGCCTTGAGTTTGACCCTGATCTAGACATTGTGTTTGTGGCTGGTATCTGAATCTAGAAAAAGAATAAAAAGTTTGTACAAAAAACATTTTTCACGGGGCGGGTGGGGGAAGAGAGATGAAATGGCCTAAGAAGTTGGCAAGTGGGAGCTGAAAAAAATAAAAATGCCTAGCAAGCGAAGGTGGAAATTAAGTCATCTTGGACCGTAGAAAAGGTGCTATTTCCAGGATGATTCAAGACCACTGAAGAGGAATTCGCGTAAGGAATTGCTATGCAAACAGTATGCCAGTGTGCGATCTATCTATCCTGCAGACTTAACCAGAGGAAAAAGAAGATCAAATATTTTCTTCTTTGCGCAGATACATAGAGGGAGAGAAGGAACCAAAAGACACAAGAAAAATAATCAAGCACTCCTAATATCAGCTGTCTACTAAGTTTAAATGAAGCTCTTGATTCATTTTTTTTTGGAGGGGGGGGATGCAGTTACTGTTATGATGCACACATGGTTCTTATAGCACTAGCAGTACTATTTGCCAGCAGACAAGTCTATAATTGTACACATTGGATCACAACTTTGTTTCCTTTGAAACAAGATAAAAGGGAGGACAGAACTGTAGGTCCACCTGTTATTTGTTGAAATCCTTTTATTTTTACCAAGAATAAAAGGTTCACAATGATTCACCGTATGTTATATTTTGTGTGTGTTGATCCTGAGATTGATCCAATAGAGGAAAATATTGTAGTTCGATACAGCTTGGAGTTCTTGGTTCCCTCTGAGCTTGACTGTTTGTTTGCAGACATTTGACTATCAGACAGTGTAATCTACTTCGCCTAGTTCAACCAAGCTGAGAGAGCACCAAGAACTGTTCCCATTCTTAGGAACTAACCGGCTCAAACCCATCCCTCATAACTTCACAAGATGCATTGCCCTAGATCAAGGGTCTTCAAACTTGGCAAGTTTAAGACTTGTGGACTTCAACTCCCAGAATTCCTGAGCTAACATGACTGGAGGAGGAATTCTGGGAGTTGAAGTCCACAAGCCTTAAACTTGCCAAGTTTGAAGATGCCTGCCCTAGATATTACCAGTTACCTCTACAAGAAGTAGCTGAGGAACTGAGATGACAGGGAATAAGAAGATGGCTGGATTAAGGATTGACCCAAACACAGTAAGAGCAGCAGGAAATGGCAGGAATACTGCTGGGCAAATATGCCTGATAGTTGAATTGGACATCCAATTGAGGCCACTGCTACACCCCCATAGAAATTTTACTTATAATTATGTGGAGTGTTTATATATGTTTACTTCTGTTCTGTCCTGTCCTCATCGTATGCTAAATAAATAATGTGTAAAAGGTTATCTACACTGTAGAGGAAGAAATGTGTATGCTATGGGGTCAGTTAACATTAGAGCTGAGAGAAATTCGTTTTGCTTTAATCTCACGCTCCACTGATCAATTTGTTTTTGTTTTTAGACTCAGAAGTCTGCTTTTATGTCCATTAGAAATCTCAATTCTAAATGGTTAGGAATCACCTGTAAATCATCGCAAAATCCTCAGCAGGCATAATTTGGATAAATGTAGTCCTATCATAAACATCATTCAGATTTTTAACAAAAAACATAGAAAGCTTTTAAAAGTGTTTATTAAATACATCATTTTCTATTTTTAAATAAACATTTGACATTAAAAAATTATATAAAATATTTGTTTGTAATATATATATATATATATATATATTAAAAAGAACACAGTTTGAACCAGAATTGCAACTCTCTTAAAAAGCAACTTTAAAAAAGACACGGGAATGTGGTTCTTAGGATCTGACTTTAATACTAACCGTTTACTGTGCCAGCAAGCGTTTAAGACGAGCAATTCAATTGCTGCATCCAAGCACAAGGATAAACCTGGCCCAAAGGTGAGAGAGAGGAGGGGGGGGACACACTGATCTTCCTTGGAAGCAAGCCAGAGCTGATCCTGTGCTATGGCTCAATGACCTATACAAAGCCCCTGCTAATGCTTATACCTCAAAATCTCTGTTAAGTCCTACTGCAATTAAATTAAAAAGGAAACTGAGGCCTGCTCACGTCAATAAAGCAACTTACAATGCATGGTTTAGCAATCATTCCTCACAGAGCCTGATTTGTTACATCCACATCCTCCTCTAAAAAACAAACAAACATCTATCAACATTGATCTGGTTCATTAACTTCCAAGCAGCAAAGGCAGCAGCATTCCCAGAGACCAGCTCAGAACCATCACCTACCTTGCTGTTATAGGGAAGGGCACAATGTCAGCTACAGAAGAAAAAAAAAAGAAGCACACGGGTTGAAATGAAGGAAGAGGCCATAATGACTAAACCTTGAAGAGCTGGAATGTTCTCAAAAACAACAACAACAAACAAAAACCTCTTTAAGCATAGAAAGTGCAACAGCTTTGCTTCACTTCAAAATATGGCTGTAAATATGCAGCTCCCATTTGCTTGTGATAGCTCAACTCTCCACTACAACATGGAAAAAAGAATGAAGGGGTTTACATCCTGGACAAATCCTTATCTATGAGATTCTGGGTCAAAAGCTTAAGAGGCTGAACTACTTGTTTCAAGACAAACACAGAGCTCTCAACCTCACGATTTTGTTGCTCTGCTAAAGAAAATGCCTAGCCTTTGCAGGTACAAACAATGGATAGGAAACCATGCTGCCTCCTTTAAAGACTAGGGAATACATTTACAACAAAGAATCCGAGTTTGTTTCTGCAGCCAAGTTCTAATACTGAAGGACATAGCCAGGCAACATACCCGCAGGAAAGAATCAGCGAGCAAAGAAGGGGGTCAATCTTACTCTGTGCCTTCCATGCAAGCACATTCTTACTTTACATCTGCTGGGTAAAATACTACAGGAACACAGATCTACTGAAGTAAAAAGTTGGAAGTATTTTGAGGAAGGGACACCTTGACCTGATGGAAAAATACAAATACAGATGCCCCAAAGGCACAGGATTTCAGCCATTCTATGGTAGGAACATGCCCAAACTTGGAATTTTGCGTGCCGGTATGTTTGTTCTGCTGCAGAATTTCATTGTGGTGGTGTTGATGAAGTCTAGAAAAAGACAGGAAATCTAAGCAGCAATTCAGCACAGCTACCTTTCAAGCATGGTTCCACTTGAACTTGGAACCATTTTAGGGGAAAAAAAGGTTCCTGGGCATCTCTTTATCAGTTAACAGTGCCTCAGTAATACTTCCTAGAATGTCAGGGGAAACAAAGGAAATAAGGCTAATTCTCAATACAACTTGAGTCCCGTTCCATGAGTACATCAGCTGGTGACTTGTACCACTGATAAAATATAAGGCTCAAAAAGATAAATACTCCATGGCTAAATTCTGCTTACGAAAGGCCAGTTGCTTCATTCTACAGCTGCTAAATGGAAGGTTGTTAGGAAACCCCACAAGCCAGCCATGACAATGCTCCTTCATATGCTTTGCGCCTACCCAGCTATTGGCATTCAGAAGCACACTTGTCTCTGAAAAGGGAGCCTTAGTTTATCACTGATTAAAACAGATTAATGCCTAAAGGAAAAACCACAGCTCTGTTTTAAAACCTCCCTAACCAGTACCCAGCACGTTATCTTGTGTAGTATGGGAAGGTACTTATTTATTGGCTTGTCCTAAAAACTAAGTAAAATCCATTTTATTATAAGTTAAAATTTAAGGCTAAAAACTCTCATTTTGTATGACAGGGTTAAAAAAATGGATCCTGGGAATAAAACTAAGCTCCTGGAAAAGTAGATAGCAACTTTCACTGAACAGTGTGTGTTATATTATGCAGAGTCTTAACTGGATGGTGTTACATATAGAACTGCGCTTTACAACCTACAAAGCTTAAGAGATGGACAAAGTTCCTAAAAAATTGAATGGCTGGCATGAGGCTGAGGTCCTGAAGTCTTCAGCAGTTCACAAGGCCAGAAGCTCTAAAAGAAGTAACAGTCAATTACCATTCAGGTTCTTTAGCATGGCTGTTCAGTCTGCAGAATCCACAATCTAATAGATCTGAAGAGGATGCCATCTGTTCCCTGTCAGAATGGAACAGGCAGAGGAGTTCTTAGTAGACCATCCCCATCACACATGGGATTTTGCACAGTCCAAGTGACTATCTTCCTTTTCTCAAGCTCCAGTTTGTTGGCAAAAAAGGCAACTTGTATAATGAATACCAATCTTGGCTACCGGAAATAAATAGCATCCATTTTCCTGATAAATTCCTTCCCATTATATATATTAAAAAAATATAAAAACAGTCTTCATGGAAAAGTACTGCCGTGGCTTCAGTTCCAGAGTTTCCTTTGTGCAATTTCTCCCAATAATAATAACAGAACTGTACTTTGAAAGTGGGGCTTTCAGTCCAAAACCCCAGGCAGTTTTCTCATTTCAGAGGGAATGGTGCAACTGGAAATAAGAAGATACGAAGAGCCATCACTGTTTAATTCATAGTGTCAATGCATTAATAGGTAATGTACATGCCATTATTTTATTACAAATCACTTACTTATCTTTTGCTAAGGCACATGCAAAGATCCAACTTCAGTTTTCATGCATGACCTTTGACTTCACAGAAAATACAGTCACATAAGAATGCAGATTTTTTTTCCAGACTAAGAATGGATTGTAAATTGATGCCTGCCTGCTGCTGCTAACCCTAAGGACAGAGCTACATTCCATAGCACCTACTTATAGTTACAGGAAACCTGTACCTACGCAGAAAGGAGGTAGCAGGTTGCATGTGCCCATCGGCATCATGAAGAATAATACATGACCCTTGGACACCTGCTAAGGCTTGATTAATCCAGCACCTGGTTTCCAACAAGGCACCAAAATATATCTAAAATTCTGGACAAGACAGTGGTATTCTCCTTTCTGGCTCTGGCATTTAGTATTCATAGCAGACTGCATGCAAAACTGCCCATCCGATTTTTGCACATGTATGGTGTAACAGCTGTACGACAGACAATATAAACTCCTCCAAAGACCTTATTTTCCACTGAGAAAATTAAAAAGATAACCTACCTCATACTTCCCTTTGAATCTGCAACTCCAAGTGTCCCTCCCCACCATTCAATGACCTACAAAAAAGGAACAGGAATCTTAAAAGACAAAGAGGAAGAACGGATGATTCATTAGTCAATATTATGTACAACTTTCGATGACCTGGTGCCCTCAATTTGTAGCACAACCTAGTTGGAAATCATCACATTCACACAGTAGCCCAACAGTTTCTATCCCATAGGAGTACACTCAAGATCCTGAGGGGCAATTCATAAGAATCTGAAATATGTAGTGAGAAAGAGAAGATCTATAAGTCAGGAATGATTCATCTAAAATAGAAAGAGGCTAAGAGATGAAAATCTGGTTACACAGGCAGGCTTCATGATCTTCTAGTTTCTTACCTTTGTTCTTCTGTTCTTTCTACATTATTCCCCCTCTGCTGTGTCCACCTCTTTCTTACGATCTGTATGAAATAAAGTAAGAATTGACCAGTGAAACAGAGAACCCTGATTTGAACCAACCATGAGTGGATTGAATTGCTGGTATAATTGGTACTGGATTTCCAACTAAAAGCTGGGGCTATCCTAAGAGGAAAACTACTCCAAGAAAACACTTCTACCAACAAACATAACAGCTGTCTTTGCATATGGACAGCCTCCATAATATTAGTCACCGACCAACTTTTAAATCAACTTTAATTTGAGCCCAATGTTACATTCTATCCTCATCACCTCCAGGCTTCTCAACATTACTCCATTTCTTATTGCACAGTGATAAATTACAGTATTAAGAAAAAGATAGCTATGACTGTTCTTGTATAGTCAAAACCATTCCTCTAATGTATCCCTTTAAATATATATATATATATATATAAACTGTGAAAAAAGCATGAACAGATTTCAGCCATGGAAGACACTGTGCAAGCCCTATAAATCAAGAGATAACTTGTTTCCTCTTCCTTCCTACGAAGCAGTTCTTCTAAATAATGTATGAAGCAATGATACATGCAACATGTTTAATCCCAGTACAGGTCGACATTGCCTCTAGCATGCAACTACATCTTATCTTATTCAACCTGGAAAGATATTTATTGTATTTACATATATATTTTTCCAACTCCATAGCTACTTTCAAGCTACTTAGGAAAGTTTTCCAATCCTATCCCGATTCTAGGAATCAAAAGATGAATCACAAGATGTGCTTCCCACTCATCACTGACATCAGTTCTAAGCACTACACTTTTACAGCCAAGTAGTTTTAAGAAGTCGAGTTGTGGGGCTGGGCAGCATGCGAAGTAGTCCGTCTTAAGCAATGCTTGCATCTTGTGGCGTAGGAAGCACTAGGATTTAAGTTAGCCCAGGCAATCCAAGACAGAGTTACCACTGCAAGCATGCATGAGATGAGATGTACCCCATAAGCCTAGCTTTTTTTTTTTTTTTTTGGCATCCAAATGAAAACAAAAGGAGAAGGAAGGTATTTTACAACAGCAAACCAAATGTAAGATGAGTTGCAGGAAATACTTAACAGAAACGCAAGGAAAGTGTTTTTGCTCAGGGACACAAGAACTATTCCGCGTCTAACATTGTTGCTCATGCCTAGCAGTCTTGGTTTTCCAGACCTATCTTGAGGATGGCAGGTATTGAACCTGCAAAGTTTGCACTTTGGCAAGAAGCTACACTTCTCTCTAAATGACAGTTCTACGTTACCATCCGCAGGAAACTCTATGCCTCAAATTTGCCACCGAGAGAAAGAGGAAAGGAATGCAGGTGTACATTTGTTAAGGCAGGACTCAACCTTACCCTGGATTTATGTAAGTAGAACAGCAGGCCTCCCAAGGCTAGGAGGATTCCCAGGACACTGGGTATCACCACATATGTTGCAGACGTCCCTTGGGTATTTCTGGGCTCTGACCTCTTGATGTGCTTCTCTGCGTTCGAAGGAATGAAGTTCAGATCAAAGCTGGGTCCCAGCAGGCTATCCTCCAATTCCCTGTCCTTGTTGGCCAGACCCTCTTCTCGTCTTGCCCGCAGCTGGGTGTTTTCCAGTGCTTTGTAGTTTTTATCTCTGCTACTTTGCTTTCCCCAGGAGTCGCTTTCATGGGATATTTGTTTGGGGGGTGAGGAATTCTCTGTGGTGGCCACAAATCTAGAAGGATCTTGTGTTGCAGAGACAGGATCTTTGTGGCCCAGGACCTGGCGACTGCCACTGGAGGGCGCACTAGAGCTGTCTATTTGCTCCAAATTGGAAGACGATGTCAGAGTTAAGCTGAAATCACTGCTGGCAACAGTGATATCCTGTTCAGATGTGAGTCCTGGAATGGCCTCAGTTTTTTCTTTTATCTCAAACCATTGCTGATTGAGAAAGGACTTGGCTAAGTCAGAGAGAGGGAGATGCTGAGAAGCTAACTCATCAGATTTTTTCTGGCTTTCACCAGTTGTGGAATCCAGGGAGGGAGAGCTGGTCTCCATGGATTCCAACCGTTTCTGGATAGAAAGAGAAGGTGATGATGATGGTGGTAATAAGTCATCAATGCCAGCCCCGAAATCCATGCTTTCAGTGATTTCTTGGCTTTTATCAGTGCTTCTAGTCACCCTAGACCTGATATTGCTCTCTAACCCACTATGAATTTGAGTAGAATCAGGAAGCCCTAGTAGCTGGAGAATGCTGACAGCTGTCTTCCTGCTGTCCAGCTGCTCTGCAATGGAAGGGAAAGACTCAGAAGTTGGAACGAGATATGTCGAGCCTTCTAAATTGATCGGGCCTGCAGATGAACAGTTGCAATCCAGGGCAGTAACAATACCTGAAAAGATCCAGAGAGAATGGCCATAGAGTAATCAGCTTCTCAAGATGCAAGAAGAATCAAAGGGTTGCATTAGGCCCAAGTTAGACACTTCCTTTAAGCTACCATGCCAACACCAGATTTCAGCTTTTTTTTTTTCAAATCATGGAGAAGAGCAACAGAAGGAACTGCAGATTAAAACCGAAACAAAAGGCAAGGCAACCAGCAGCAGGATCCAGGAAGAACTATTGAGAATGAAAGATTAATGGATGAACGGATGGATGGAGGAAACAGTGTAAGATTAGCTTGGGGTAGCAACACCGAAAAAGAGCTCATGCAACTAAAATTTATGGAGAAATCATATACAACCGAGACCAAGCACTGGATCAGGCTTCAATTGTCCAGAAAATCAAAGCAAAGGGAATAATAATTTCTCCATAGGAGCGGCGATGTGGATATTCATGGCCGTAACAAGTGGCCATAACAAGTAAATCTATAGTATATGTCGCTATAGATGCCACATGCACAGACATAAAACATAAACTGCCACAAGAACACAGATGAACTCAAGACAGGTTTTCAGGTCAGACAGTGACTGCATTCTCCTTGGCAACCATTCAGAAGGGCTGAAGGCTTCGTTATCTCATTGGATCTCAGAGTAATAAAACTAAAAATGAGGTTTATTTGGAAGTAGATTTAAAAAGTGGACAAAAGCCCAGCTATAAAGATTCCATCCAATTATGCCTGAATAACGTTAGGACCATTAGGAATTGAAGCATTTTATATGGACCTTCCAAGCTGAATTTAAAAAAAACAGAAGGATGTATGTACACACATACAGGCAGAGAAACACCAGTTAGATAAGAATGCAATGTCTTCTCAACTTATTCCCCATCTTTGCAGCTTAGCCTTTCCATCTGTTTGAGGTCCACCTCAGGAATATATCTGAAATTCTCTGTCATGATATTAAAAGATCCCATTTCTGGTGGTTAAGCACCATTCTAGGATTCTTGCATCTCTAAGCAGAAATGCTGCAGTTTTGAAACTGAAGTTGATTGTGAAGCTACTTAGAACAAAAGTAATATCTATTACAAAGGGTTCCATGATGGGTTTTTAGGCAGTCTTTATACATACTGCTTGAAGTTTCTCTCATTGCTAATGTAAGTCAAATATGTGACAGAGGGCAAAGAAAATACAGAAATATTAAAGTTGATTAACACAAAACAGTGGGGAATGGGGAAGGGAAGAACTTCAACTGACATTGTGTTAAAATTCACACCATCCTGCTGTATAGCACTAGCAATACCCCTTATACTTGTATAAATGCTTTACAGCTCTCTCTAAGCAGTTTAAAGAATCAGCATATTGTCCCCAACAATCTGGGTCCTCCCAGAAGGATGGGAATCCTGAGTCAACCTTGTGCCGGTCAGGAATGAACTCCTGGCAGTGGGCAGAGTCAGACTGCAATACTGCATTCCAAACACTGCGCCACCACAACTCTTATTTATGCACACAAGAGTCAGGAATCTGCAGCTACAACAGACTTAAACAGATTCAGCGTCCTCCTCACTTCAAACTAAAGAGACCCACTGCATTTCCATTCAAATGAGATGTCTGTTGACTTTTAAGGCTTGCATTCCAGCAGACAATAGACAACACTTGCACATATAAATGCACAAAGAAGCCTGCTGCACAAACATAAATGCACATATATAAAAGCCCCAAAATGCTTCACCCAATTTAAAATCCTCGCTCCCCAACTCTGCGCCAAACGATTGGCAGGAAATGCACATCTGAAAAGTCTTGAATTGTTTACCTGTAGAAACAATCTCCTTTTCCTGGGATTCTGTACACTTCTGGAAGACTTCGCTGCAATCATCTGTGAATATTCCCTTGCTCAGAAACTGCTTGGCTTGGCTAAAGTATTTGTGTACCAGTTGCAAAGTTTGCTCTGCTGTACGGGAGAAGGTCTTGATGCACTTCTTCCAGAATAAATAGAAAACACGAGAGGGAAAAAAAAAATTAGCTGCTATGACAGCATAAAAAATTATCACCAGCCAATCAACTACAAAAATAGTTTCTCTACTTCTATAAGCAAGGCCTATTCTCAACGCTATATTGAAGATCCTACAAGGAATATCCAACATATCAATAGGATTTAAAAGGTCAGCAGGATACAGCAAGTACTTCCTCAACTGGGTCCCTTAGGAATTTTCAATTCCTAAAGATTAAGTGTAATCAAATACAATAATATTACACATTCAATCCACAAAATCTGTTTCCAAACTGTCTTTGTAGATCCCATTGGTTAACACTGCTAACCTTTTTGGGGGATTTTCCTAATACTTCTTTTTCTCATATTTGGGGACATTTTAAAATTGATTAAGAGTTTTGGAGAATTTAGAAGAGTGTGTGCCTTTTTGAGTCATTTTGATTGATCCTAAATGATATCGTCCAGATGATACATTTTGCATATTTTGTCCCTGGGCCAGCATAAGATAATTTCAACCAAAATATAGCTATAGCTGTTGAATTGTAAACATTTCCTTCCCTTTGCAGATAGCAAGCACTTGGAGGAAGAAGCAGCTGGCTGAAACCTATCCATTGTTTCAAAGGCCCCAAACTAACCGCCTTTCTGCATTGTCTTTAGGTACCTTAAAATTATGTACCTATCTGTGAAGTCTAAAAATGTGATTAAAGTTATATCTGGTTCAATCCCAAATTCTTTAAAAGGAAGGCACATTCAAGGAAAGACACACTAAAGCATTTTTTTCCCAATTCTCTCCTCAGCATATTCAGTTTTAAAATTTAGATGTCAGCTGTCAATCAGCTTCTCAGTCTCATTAAATGTATTAGCATTATTTCTGAGGATTGCAAAACTGATCAGCAAAATTTACCTTATTTTTATCATTGTGAGGCTTAATGCATCTTGCAAGGTCCAGGTATAAGTTCTTTATCAGATGGAGTTTCACATAGTTTGGACTATTATTCTTGAATTTAATATTATCAATGATACCTTTCAGGGGATTAAAGGCTGCTTTGAGAAAGCATTCAGTATTATCCTAGAAGATAATAAATATAGATGTCAGCAATGAAAATATTCAGTTTTGATGTGGAAAAGATAGCATTGTTCAGATCAAGTACTATTTTTTCTTGTTGCTACCACTTGACCTTTCCAAAAAGGGACAAGGGTAAAAATAGCCTTAAAGATGATCAATAGCCTCTTCTTGCTTGCTCTTCTTCAATTATAAAGCATTCAAAGAAATAAGACAATCAAATGAACAACAGTGTCAAAGGCTCATTAACTCCTCTTGGGGGAGGTGACCATGGACCAGATGAAAAACTAGATGCTAACAGCCTCTCTTACAGGACTCAGTATTACCCAGAAGACACTGACTGCTAAAGCAAATTCTAATGACATACCAATTAATAATTCAGGCAAGATTTAATTCTTTTAAAACTTTTAGGCCTTTACAAACAATATCTTTCAATTGGGTTCCAGAGACTCTTGGGGTTTTCTCATGCATTTTTTGAAAGCTAACTAAGTAGAATGATAGCCTTTCTTTGGTAACTGTAGGGAAGAAATAATCACGGATCCAGTGATTTTGAGCAATCCACAGTTTCAAAGCCAACTGGAATTCTCAAGATTTAACATGACAGAAAAGCCTGGTTTGGAATCTCCTGGTAGTGACCAGGAGGAAAAGATATGCAGAAGCCCAAAGCTAAACCAAAGGTCATCACTATACTCGTGATTCCTCATAGTGGAAAAAAAATCTTAAAAAATACATTGAAATCCACTGCTCCAAACTCTGGACACTAGAAGCTCTTATACAAACTCTATTTGGCAATATGACAAATTGACTACAGGACAAGCTCTTGCAACTTACAAGTTCCCCTTCATCCACATATTCAAAAGATCGCAGGCAGGAAGTTTCCATCTGGCTATCTATCTGTAATGAAAAAAAATACAGGGTAAATGTCCATTAATCTTACTCTGTTTTAGTTTTATGAATCCCAAGAATGTTCCAAGGAAGCCAATATATCTAGGGCAAACGTAAACACTAGTGACAGCCTAACAAGGTTAGAGAACTGAATTACTTGCATAAACCTAGAATTTGTTTAGGGAGTTGCAAGAAAAGAGAAACATAAGCATTTGGGATAAATAAACCAGGGAATGGTTCAGAATTAACCACGGTGATTGATCAGACTGTCCAAAAAGCAAATCTACTGCTCTACTAGCAATAGCAACATCACTGATCACTGGCAATATCCCAGAGCAACTCAGGAAAAGGCATGCAGAAAATCAATGAAGGCAAAAGCTTGATTCACTATCCCAAGAATGACAAACAGTTTTAAGAGCATCACTTTTGGTTTTGAATTTATCACCTTCAACCTGTCCCCACTTGCCCAAAGGACTGGGGGAGTTTTTAATTCCGCCAAAATGGCTTCTAAGCCAGCACAGCAACAACTAAGCACCAATCAGTTAACCAGATAAAACTCTGGCAATTGGAACCAGAGTTTCTGCTTTCTGGATACTCTGATAAAAGACACTTCAAGCAACATCACCAGGAAATAAATTATACAATTTCCACTATTCTGGGAATCGCATTATCCATTTCACAGCTGTTCTCTTCCCTGAGCATGTTTAACTATGAATTTACAATTTGCAGTGATAGCCCTTGACTTATGATAGCAACTGGGACCAAAATTTTGGTTGCAAGTCATGACAGTTGCAAGTTGAGGCACCCACATGACTGGATCCAATTTTATGAGTATTTTTACAGTGGACATTAAGCTTATCACGTAGCCGTAAATCTAAAACTGTAAAAAAAAAAATCACAGATTACAGTCATGTGACTGCAGGATACTGCAACCAGTTATAAACGTGAGCCAGTTTCCAAGTGCTCAAATGCAGTGTGTGTGTGTGTGTGTGTGTGTGTGTGTGTGTGTGTGTGTGTGTAACATTTTATGACTGCCAGAAGTGCTTTATGGGCTGTAAACCATCCTTTCTGAGGTCTTGGTAACTCCAAATGATAATTAAAAAACCAATTGTATTTGTTGTTTTGATTTAATTTCATCATTCGGGCTATTGTTAGATATAAGAAGGAAAATCACACTAGAATGAAAAAAACAGCTTTAAAAATTCAAGTGACTCTGCAAGTATAATTCAAATTTTGAAACAGCTATTGAAATAGATGATGAAATGGGGTTTCTGAACTAACATTATTAAAACATGACAAGCATCATTAAAATTGCTTGTTCAGTCAATTTTGCAACTTCCCACATGATTTAAAGGCATTTTACTACGGAATTCACAGAGTTTTAAATATACATTTTGTTAATCCATTCCTTTTCCTAGCTCTAAGTGGCAGGGAAATCCCACTCTCTGTTCCAAAATCTGTATTCTTTTTGGGAGTTGGGAAGGGATATTTTTTTGTGATAGTAATATGCCATATACTGGATATAAATAGTGCCAAATGAGTTACACAATATTTCAATAATATTTGAAGTTGGAATCATTAAAGTTTTGGTTCCAAGTAAAGATATACAATCTAATCCTAAAATTTAGTCATGATTGCAAAATTTATCAGCAGTACATTTTATTCAAATAATAAGCTTCATTAAGGTGTGGCAGTGTAATATCTGAGAAATAGTATGAGTTACAAATGACTCATCTCCTTGGCTTAGAAATGAAACTGAAAAATAAGCGCACTTTTAATAAAGTGCGAAGTGCATGTATTATTCCTTTCAAACAGGAGATTTAAAATAAAAAAAACTATAAAACTATTGCCTGCATCTCCCCCAAAAGAGGTATACTTCAGTTTGGGAAACCTTATTATGGGGAGAAGGTGCATCCAAAAGTAGCCCCAAGCCATGAAGCACAACCAATGCCTTGAACTACACTCAGAAGGCAACTGCCACCAACTTCTTGGAATAAAAGTAACACAATGACCTCCTTCAAAACGATCCACCACTACCCAGGCTACCTCACTCTTCACAGCTGGAATTTCCAAATTCTCCTCAGGGCCAGTGCTACATATTACACTATTCCTAATGAAGGGTGACTGAGGCAAAAATGGCTGCGAGTAATGGCAGCCGTTCCAGGAAGAGTTACAATTGGCATCCTAGACGTAGCTCACCAATAGGCTTTTAGCCATAGCTGCCACCTGCTCTTCAAGCAGAAACTATGAATCTAAGAGGGCCCCCAAACTAAATTTGCACAGAGAAGTGTAACCCTGCTTGAAGTTAATCATGGAGTCCCATTGGAAGCGGCCTGTCTTTAATCCCACAGCTACTCCATCTTATTGGGATTGATCTCAACCAGTTCCACTCCCATTCATACCTGGATAAGCTTTAGACTACTAGACAAGCTTCAGTGACATCAGTTATTTTCCAGTAGTCAAGCAATGCAATTGGGCATCGTCAGCATACTGGTGAAACCTGACTCCAGGCAGCCAGATGACATTACCTAGCAGATTCAGGAAGATCTTGAAGAGGACCGGGAGAGTAGCAAGTCTAGGGAATATCCCCACTTAAGAGATTTAAGATTTAATTTCTCACCAGCATTATTGCTGACTGAAGCCATTTCTTCGGAAAGGTGAACCGTTGTGTAATACTGTGCCCTTTACTCCTAACTATTGGAAATGGATCAAAAGACTGTTCAATGATATCCAAAGCTATTGAGAAATCAAGCAGGATAAGGATTACATTATCCCTATCACAGTTCTATGAGAGATCATCAACGGACACAACCAATGCTGTGCCATGCTGAATCTAGGCCTTAAACCACACTGGTCAGATCCTCTATTTTTTTTTCCAGGGCCCAAAACAATTTCAGCCCAACTGTAACCTTCCCCCAGAAGGGAAATTTGGAGATAGGCTGATAATTGTTCAGAATGTACGAGTTGAGAAAAATTTCTTGAGGAAGGGGCACACCACTGCCCTTTCAAACATACGATAACACTTTGTCTCTGAAGGATGCATTTCCCATCACCAGCTTTCTGTCAGCTCCCTGTAAGATTTGGCTACAAGGAGGGGCAGGGATCCAGACTATAAGGAGAGGACTCTTATTTCCTCAGGAATGATAGAAACAGATCTATCCCAAATAATATTGCAATGTGGAACCTCTGTCTTCTTCACTAGGCTTGCCTAATGAACCTGCACATTGGACCTACACATTATTAAAAGATTGGATGTGATAGCAGCACACCCCAATGGCTTTAAAATCCTGAAAGGGGACAAAGAATGAACCACAAATACATCATTTTCCTCGACTATTCTTTGGCAACTAATACATGTGAGAGATAGCAGGTGTTTCAGCACTGTTTAGTATATTATAATCAAGATGTTTTTAGACAGGCAGGAATTTGCTTCCCTAGGGAGAGAACTGAACTCTGGAAGAGGAACACTAGCAACTCAACATTCCTTTTTTAGGGAGGTTTATCCCAAAGTCAAAACATTAAGATAATTTATTCTTAGAAGATGTTGTTCATAGGGACTGTTTATCATAAATATGGATAATCAAAACATTGAAGTATTATTCATCTTGGTGCTTTGTTAGTTTTTGCAGAATCTAGTACTATACGGCGCAAAGATATTAAGACAGAAGAGTCATCTCATTAATGTTACAGAGAGCAGACTTTGTGTGAAAAACTAGCTTGCTTTAGGCAACAACTAGGTTCCATAACTTGGATGGTGTCCAAGTGTATTGACTCGTACAATTATCCACCTAACATGGCCATAATTGCCTGGAATTGTGGGAAGACTAGGAAAGTCTGAGTTAGATTTTCAGTACTGATCAAGCAATGGTGGAGAATAGAGAGGATTCAGGATGGCAAAAAGACTTTAATAAATTCACATGACCCACTGAAACATTTATCATCCTCATAAAGGATAAAAATATATCAATGCACGTTCACCCCAGAAATGCCTATAAAATGGGCAAGAAAGAAAGACAAGAGAAATGCATTCAGAAGTGTCCCTAGAACACTGCTATGTACAGCCTCATGTCCTAGCTGTAGACAGTTTCGTCTTCATATTTTTATTTACTAAATAATAATTCTTGTGAATCTTTCCTATCTGAATCAGAATTCTAGCCTCTGGGAATTTTGTAGGCAAGAAAAGTATCGCGTTTTTTTAAACAGTTATGAGAACAATTCTTGCAGCGGAGATTTCCTAATGTTTATTAATGGTTTAGGCAAAATCAAGATTCCTGGAGACTTTGCTTCTAACATTTTGCAGCTCTAGATCACCCTGACCATTAACTTGTCAATTATGTTAGCTTTAGAAAATCCAGCCTGCGTCAATTAAAAGTATATCATCTCTGGGCTATCCCTCCAACTAAAAAGCAGAAAGGAAGTATTTAGATGGAGGAATGACCCACAGTAATGATCAGGTGAAGAAATAGCAGCAAAATGTTCAAGAAGGTTTTGTCCTAATCTCAGTGCATTCCAGGCTGTGCCCAGCTTGTCAGGGGGCTGCGTTTTATGTCCTGGATTTTTAATGCTGTAATAAGCCACCAGAAGTCAGTATATGTGGCTTGTGAGGCCATATAAATTTCATTTCATACAATAAATGATTATGGCATGTCAATGAAAAGATAGCAAGTGGGATAAAACTTCAGTCCTGCACATAGCCAATTGATCAGACCATTCCCAAGTGGCTTTAGACAGCAGGATGTTTGCTCTCAGAGGACAGGGATATAGGAACTTCATACAGCTCTTATTATAACAATATATATTTGACAATTTCATTTTCTTGCAGCATAGAAGAGGTAATAGGTAATACTGATAAAATGACATAACCCCCCCCCCCAAAAAAAGAACTAAATGAAAGTAAAATAAGCTGCCCAATAATTTGATTTTAGTGTCCCCCTGTAGGCAGCAGTGCCCAGCTGATCTTGGGTTGGTTATTAGGATGAGTGAGCACAAAAATACTGGGGGTCATGTACATCTTGGAAACTTTACCTTTCTTTTTCATAGTTTTTCGTCAACAGAGATCTTAAACAAATCAAAGGTTATACGTATAATATAACCAATCCAATCTTTGGACAGAATTCTAAGTAACTTTTATTTATGCACAAACCCTGCTTTATTTCCTACTGGTTTGCATATTCATTCTTCCAGTGCTCTCGCTACAGTAATAAAAGAAACTGACCTACAGATTAGGAAGACCCCAGCCAATCTCTATAGGAATCTCTAGCAAGTTGCTCTCAATCAGAATCTACACTGGCACTAGGGGTATAATGCAAAACTACTTTACAGGGTTTGTGGTATTGAGAATGACCAAGCATTCGCAGAAAAGTGCCAAGATAATTTCAGAGTCCATTCTGCTTTCTTGCTACCCGGTACCACCTACTATACAAAAGAATCACCTTTTTCCTGAACCTAATACTAAAGGGTGGGAACAACATAAAAAAAATGGAAATTAGGTACTACTATGGTATAACTTTATTTAATACAAACCCAGCCTGATTGGAAATCTACTACCAAACTAGGTACCCAGTCCATATAATGTTACTTCTTAACGTCATTATTCTTTTAATATCATATTTTTACTATATAATTTATAGACTCACCAGATCAGTCAGGTTCTTAAGGTGAGATGCCATGATGAGCCGCCGGCAACCATTATTCTGTTTAGTTTCATGGATACCACAGGTTACAAGAAGGAACAAGGCAAAATGCATATAGGCAATCATGTTTTCCTGAGTTGTGGATGAAAAAGAAGTCTTCTATTAGAGCCTTGCGTTTTCTGCTCCTATAGATAGGACTGTCCTTAGCAAGCCTTTGTATTTCATTGTTTTCCCTTTCTAATGTAAATCAACATTATACTTCAAAAGTATGTCCCAAACTCATCCATGCCTGGCTAATGTGGTACTGTGTCTTCCCTTTCCCCCTTTTTAAAACAAGTAGCCATAGAATTTCCTCAGCTTATCTAGAGGATTCCTCACTTTGTTTCTCTCCTTTTGTGGTTTGCGGCACACCTTCCTTCCAAACCACAAGTGCTGGGAAATCATTCTCTCTTCTCCCACTGCCCTTTGCTATAACATCTTACTAGCAAAGACTGTGGTACTGTCTCAGAATAACCATCCATTATTGCATAGAGTTTGGTTAAAAAAAAGTGTAGCTTTTTTAAAAAAAAAGTCAGTGCTAAAATATTGCAGTAATATTTCCTTTTACTATTTGTACTTTCCCACTAGGGCCTTTGCCTTAGGCCAATTTGTGCTTGGAACGGACCATATCAAATTACCACATATTAGGCATGGCTCCAACAATAACTCTCTTCCATCCTGCTGGCATCCATGACTGCAAAAATCTCTGGACTGCATCTATTTCTGAGGCCTGCCACATTTATTTAGCAAAGCACGGCAGCACTGCTGCTAAGGCATGGATTTCCCAAGAGTGCTTTAAAGTGCACTTGATAGAATAATCCAGGATCTTTTTCAGGAAGTTCTGAAGAGTTAACTCTGGTTTGCAAGCATATTTTCCTCCCTCCACCTCCATTCTTGTGTTCTTATTAGGAAAAGAAGAGGTCAGACAAGTAGCCAAGCTGGGAATTTCCCCCATTGTTACAGCTCAGATGGATTGCACATTCCCTGCTGTTCTGTGACAAAGCTGGTTTTTCCCTTCCTTGTGCAGATGAACATAATAACATAATGAAGTATTGCAGCTCTCAGCTCTATTTTCCTAAGTTCAGTTTTTAGATGCCTATTGCAGTCCTGCTCCATGCCACATTTATTTATTTAGAAAATATACTGTATATATGCAGTGGTGAATGCATATACAGAGAAACCAGGAGATTGTGAGTTCTAGGCCTGCTTCAGGCATGAAAGCTGGATGGGCAACTTTTGGCTAATCATTCTCTCACACACAATTCAACCCACCTGAAAGTTGCTGTGGGGAAAGTAAGAGGCAGGAATATTAGGTAAGTTCATTGCCTTGAATTACATATAAAAAGTGGGATTAAAAATATAATGAATAATATAAAATACAGTATAATGAATAACAATGACTGTAAGCAACAAAAATCATAAAAAAATTAATTACAGTCAATATGTAAAACACTAAGAACTAAACAAATCCTTAACAATAAATTATTCAAATATTACAAGCAAGCCAAAAGACAGAATTCATCCTTTAAGTCACAAATATTCAAGGTATTTATTTGTATTCTGCCTTTATTCTTTTTACATATAACTCACGCCTACTTCTTCCTAATAACCCTGTGAGGAAGGATAGGCTGAGAGAGTATGACTGGCCCAAAGTCAGCCAGTTTCTCTTTCTTCTCCATATCTTTCCATTCCCCTACTTTTTATTATCCAAGGAAATTGCTCAAGTCCCACAGATCCATTTGGAATTTCCCCTTCAGTATCTTCTGAAACTGCTGTTGTTTCAAAACAGAGTGCAGATGCTAAAAATGGGTATTTATCTTTTGTTGCTTCCCAAAGTATTGTGTTCCAAAATTCCCTGCTTTGAAAAGCCCTAAAAGTTAAAGTCTTAACAGGACACAAAATAGTTCCAGATAGAGGGCAAATCGACAGAACAGCAGCGTGGAAAAAAGAAGGCTAAGAATTAAAAGTTAGAAGACCACCAAGTTGCACCAACCACCAACAGACAAGGCAGCTCCAGGAACTTACTTGAAAAAGCTGGATCTGCAAACCACAGCTTTTTTTCCCACAGGAGCCAGTCTAGATGTTGAGACTAACCTCTAGGCCCCCACTCATGTCTCCCTTGCGATTTAAGGCAATGGAAGCAGCAATCCGAGATAGTCACCATCGTTTTCAGAAAGTTCACTTGCACTAAATGATTGGGAATCCTCTGTAGGACATTTCAGCCTTTTTAAAAAAAAAATGTTCTCAAATACTTTAATATATATTTGCAACTGAGGATATAAAAATTGTTTTGACTATTTTGCAGAGGATTTCCAATCTACCATCCATCTAGGAATAACAGAGGAAAATGCTTCAGAACAAAAGTTATTCTATTCTTCACAGATCAAAACCAGTTATTAAGCTTCTATATTCAGACTGCAAAAATATGGGCAGCTACTAGAGGGCAGCAAAGATTTGAAGAGGTTTCACATGCTTTTTTTCGTCAGTGCCATCTGATGGTCATAGGAATTTTTAGGGCCCTGTAGTAACCCTATTCTTAGGTCACTAAAAGTGTTTGTTTGCCTAGCAATAAACCTGGCAGTGCCTCTCTGTAATGTTTCATATCAACTTTCAAGTTGGGTAATAACTATAAAAAAAGAATATCATGCTTTTCTGCAATTTCAGCCACTTATTTAGTTTGGTCCTTCCAAATACACTGGAGCACAACTCCTGTCACCCCAATGTTAGACAAGATTAAGAAGGCTCAATTACACCTTCCAGCTGTTCTCTCTTGTTGGTTTTCATAACTTCACTTTCCGATCCTACTCACAGCTCTCTTCTCCACTGGGCTGATGCCACTTCTCCTTCCTTTCTCCTTGGCACCTTGCTGTCCACCAGAAAAACCCTATTCCTCCAGAACAACATAGGGGTTATGCCATAGCATTCCAAAGGGATTGTCCTACTACAACCTTGGAGAATCTTCCAAAAGGCTTCCAATCATTTGTTCACTGAGCTTAGCAAAAGAGTTTAAAGGGAAGGAGGATAAGAGAGGGAAAAAAAAAACAGAGGAAAGATTTGGAAAAGACTTTGAGTCATGCTTTGTGATTAATATGCCCACTTAGAAAGCACTGGGAGGCCTCTAATACTGTATGTTCAACTTGAAAGTGAAATAAATTTTTAGGATCTTAATGTTAAACTAAAAAAAAGGCTTGAAAGAGTTCTCTTAACTGCCTTGCAAACAAGAGCTGTCTGAGTATAGTGTTTAATGGCACCAAGCTTGGAACCAATGCAATTCTGCATTGAGACAAAAATTTTGGGATGACTTTGGGCCAGTCACTCTCTTTCAGCCCTTGGGAGAAAGCAATGGCAAATCACTTTCAAATTGGGAAGGCCTAGGAGCACCATTTAACCAGAAGACTTTAAAAGTATATCACTAAAACGTGTTTTGCTTAATTATGGCAGAACATGTGAGCACAGCCAATTCTGGTTAAGCCATAAACCAGAACAGTTGCATTCACACAACTGAATGCAAGTCAGGCCTACAATGCAAGTCAGGCCTACACATTTTACTTCCTATAGGCAGAGTTGTAGGTAAACTCTTACTCAACACACCTAAGAATGCAGAAAACTACTAACCATATATTGCTGGTTTACTTAATAACTTCCAACCTTCCATAACCTGTTGACTTACTTTGATAGTACCCATTCATAATGACTGTTTAATAGGGGCTTGACTACTGTGTATTGTTAACCATGGTTTCTTTTTCAGCATGCTCCCTTTTATTTTGTGACTCAGAGCAAAAACCTAGTCAAAACCAAGTTCAAATTAAACTGTGACAAATCAAAAGGCTGTACAGCAAGAAAAATTTCAAGGCTTTAAACACTAGTTGGTTTCTGTTGTACTAGTTGGTACAACAGAAATGTCCTATCATACTCTAAAACTTTCATACCAGGAGAAAACTTTGCCCCAACATTTGACCAGTCCCTTAATCTGAGGCTATGTATGCAAAGAACTCCATTCTGCAACTAATATTTTAAGCTGTAGTTTGAATTGGCTACATGCTGGTAGCACTAATAAAGCAATGTGAGTGCATTACCCTGCAGCTGATTTCAAAAGGAAACAGCAACTTATTCAGGACCACAATGCATGTTTATTGGAAAAATGCCCTTTGGGCCTTCATTCCAGTCAAACACTGGCCAGCTGGAGCCAGAGGAGCAGTTCAAGAAGGGCTTCAATTTTTTTCTTTAGATTTTTCTGACCAGCTTTGTGCAACTTGACAGGCGAGGGCGGGAAAGAGGAGGATGAACTGGAGAGGAGAGAAGAAAAAAAAGCGGGGAGGAAGGGAGAGAAGCCTGGAGCCAGCTACAAGCAGAGGTCAGTAAATGCCCCAGAGGAGGAAGAAGCCAGAGGGCAACAAGACCATCCTGCACTGCCGGTCTCAACAGTGCTAAGCCACGGTCAGCGCCGGTTTATCTTCACCGTTTAGTAGAAAGCCTCCGTTTGGCAAACGGCGGTTCGGTTTGTTTGTTTGTTTTTTTCTTCCTCGTTCTTACTCGGCAATAACTCCTAAGCGGAATGCTCCGCAGAGGTTTGAAGGTTCCTCGCAGCCGCCCAAGACAGAACAAGCCAGAACTGTCAGAGCAACTGGGCCGAAGCGTGAGCGCCTGGGACGGCTGCAAAAGGAATTGGGGTGCTTTTTTGCGCAACTGCTTGAAAAGCAACTACCGTGCCGACACTCTGCCAGCCCGGAGGAGACCAGCATCTGGCCGCCAAGCCTGGGTCTTCTTTACAACAAAACGCCGCCCCCCTCTCAATCCCCACTGCCGCCCCCCTGAAGGACTCCTACCTTCGCCAAGCGCGCTTACTATTCCGGGGACTGCAGTGCAAAAGGCTCCGCGGGGCTTGACTGAGGCTTCGCGAGGGCCAGAGGGCGCGCCTTTTTTTTTTCTTGCAAACAGTCCCGGCTCCCGTTGGTCGGCGGCCGGCAAGAGGGGGCTGGGACTTCCACTTCCAAACAACAATCCCCAAGAAAGGCTGCCTCCCGACTGCTGGCTGCCCGGAGGTCGGTGCTTATAAAGAGCTGCGCCGAAGCATGTGGTTTACGGGAAAGCACCTTGGATCGGCGCCAGTTTTTTAAAGCGCTCCTTCCCTTCTGTCGGTTTTCGCCCCACTTTTTCTGCCGTCGGGCTGGTCGCTGCTCTTGCTTTTTCGAGGCTCCGCTGTCAAAAACGGGCGACTCTCGGGGACAGCTGTGGTCGGTCCTTGCACCGCCTCACCTCTCGCTCGGGCGCGGCGGCACACCTGACAACGCCTTTGCTCCCGTCCCCCGGCCATCCCCGATTCTTAAGAGGCCTTGAGGACAGGTGTCAAATAACCGCGTTTATTGCAGTCATTGAGAAAAATCCTTCCAAGGATGAGCCGATGGGCTTCATTGATGGACTCTGCCTCTGTCAGCGCGATCCAGTAGCTGAGTTCAGAAAACCTTAATCTAAGCCATCCTGGTTTGATTAAGCCACAAGGCAGCTGCTTTCACAAGATATGCTGACCATCAAAAATGGCCATAAACCACAATAGCTGGATTCACACGAGATAACGAGCTACAATAATGTAGATTGATTTTGTTTCGGTTTACCACACCCATCTTACATCTGCGTCAAAGTAACTCACTTATTCTAAAATAAAGTCATTCTGGAGTTTTACTTTAGAACAAATATGCATAGTACTGTGCATACGAATTATGCATTTATATAACAATAAAGCTTCACTGCCCAGGATTATATTTATTAAAACTGAAGTTTCCAATATGTCTGAATGGACATTTAAGGACCTGATCCACTACACTATATCAACGGAATTCACATGACGCAAAAAAGCAGATACTAACTATATAAGGTTTGCACAATATACTGAGCCACAAAGTAGCCATCATCCACATTTCATCCAAGCATTCTGTGTACACCACTGATATATTTGTTGATATTATAACAGTGGACACTTAACATGGAGAAGAGGCAACATTCTTCGCCCCAGGGGGCTTCTTGATCTTGCTATAGAAGAGACAACATAAAACGTGGAGATTTTAAGGAGCAGCTTGAAGGACTCACAGAAACGGGAGAAAACTAGCTAAGTGTAGAGACCTTGGTGTTCTCTGAGCTTGGTTGTTTGCTTGAAGATATTTTGTTATCTAATTTGGTAAAAGCTAGTTGACCATGGAGAGCTGGAAAATTGATCAACATGGTCACTAAGGATCAACATCAACTTGATAGTGCATAATCAATGGAGAACTGAGAGCAGGGACATCTACAATGGACATTAAAATGGGCAGAATCTTGATTGCATGGTCATAGTTATAATTTTTAATTTTTTTGTCCTCCCACCTCCCGTGGATGTCCCAGCTGAGAGCTTGTTTTGCTCTCCTATAGCAGGTCCTATTCCTCCTCCAGCCTCAAACATAAAATTCTTATTATTGGGAGCCAGGAAAGGAGCGAAGGGCTTTGAAACATGATAATGATAATGATGGTGGAGGACGAGCAGAAGATAGTCAGGAACAGCATCATGTATACTTTTGCAAAACATTGCTAGCTGATTAAATTTACACGTGTTAGCATGTTTAATCCATGGTTTGTTGAATACACCACAGTGGCAGGATCATACAACACTTTAAGGCGTGGTTTCATATCAGAATAGCTGAGTTCATACAACAAACTAAATAAAAAACAAACAAACCCCCTTCAATGTTTAACTGGATATAGCAGGGCTGGCACTTTAAGAAGGCAAAGGTGATTAATTTGTATGCAGCTGAATAATTTGAGTCTACTTAATTAATAGGGCTCTCAATTTGGAAAATCTAATCTCAACTAATTTCTAACATTTAAAATGACCTTACTTTAACTGTCAAAAGCTTTGTTGTATAGATGTTTTTATTTAAGAAAAAAGATTCAGAATGAGTTAGATTAACATTGTAGATTAATATAATACAAACTAATATGGTCTGTGAGTATTGCATATTGTCACTCCATCTAAGAAGCAGTTCCAAACTTTAGCTTTTTTTAAAAAAATAGTCTACAGTTTTGTTACTTCATTTTTTCCCCTTCATTTTAGTTTATTTTTTTCTATTTCCTTTCACAAGTATAAATTTCCATGTAAGGGTTTTAGGGAGAGTAATACAGATAGTTGGGCTGAATTGTTTGCTATTTAAAATTTCTATTTTCTATTTGTTTTATTTCTATGGGTGATTTCCCCCCAAACTTTATTAAATTTTGGTGTTTTTAAAGAAAATCAATAATTTATTTTAAAATATATACAGTATAGCCTATTGGATTTTATGGCCAGGTCACAGGCTTAATAATGTGTCTGCTGGCCTTCTAGCATTACTTTAATATTACTTTTGTTTAATTAATCCTGTTTTGTAGATTCATCTAACTCATACATTTACAAACTAGTAAAAGATTGGATCTTGTAACATTCTAGTTTAAAATGTGATTGGCTTTTTTGTGTTTTCAGTTTTATGCAATTGCTTTAATCCTATGCTGTATATGTCTGTCTGTCTGTCTGTCTGTCTATCTATCTATCTATCTATCTATCTATCTATCTATCTATCTATCTATCTATCTATC